TGGTCAGATGGGTGGTGCAATCTGTTCACATGCGACTGACTCAGTTAAGAGACTCCGACTGGCTTTGATTGTTCTCATTTCGACAGATACTAGAGAGACTGCGGTGGGTGTGGACTGTGTCACTGCTCAATGAAAGTCTGATACTTTTTTTGTACTTTTTTTCTAGGAGAATGAGGGTGGACAAAACACCAGTGAGATTCTGAAGGTAAAGGCGGGTCTGGATGTGATTTAAGGACCATTCTCACTGTCAGCAGTGAACCCAATATAAGTATAATTGGAGGAAACTTTATAAGGCTAGCTAACACCAAACCCTTATCTACAATGGAAAGGTTGAGAGAAAAATTAAAAAGTAACTACATGATAAAGGAAATATAAAGATAGATTAAAAAAGAGAACCCACAAATGATTGTTTTCGTGTGATATAGGTTCCCTTCACCATGGTTTTGTCCACAAAGTTTTTTTTTTCACATTTCCTGTTTTAATTTATCAATATTTTACAAATCCTGCATTAGAAATTGCAATACCTATTTGTTCTTCTCCTTACTATGCTCTGCTCTGAGAGGTTAAATTGCAGGTGCTAATGTTTTTTAATGAATGACCAATGTCAAGTTTAAGTATAGCTGAACTGAATATAGGCAAATTTGAATTGACCAGTTTTCTTTTATTAGTTAATTCCTGTTTGTTTTTTCTTACTAATTTCTTTTTCGATTGTTTTTTTTTATTATTACAATCATCATTCCCTGCATTTTTATATAATTCGTTTTCCCATCAAATGCAAATAGTTTCAGTTGCACAGACTATAAAAAGGAAATGCTACATTGCTGAAGGCTATATGTTGAAAGCTGCTCCCCTGGCTGCAGCCAACTCACCATTAACTTCATAAATGCAATTTAAATCTAAATGCCAATAAATGCATGTTCATCAAATAAGGCCATACAAAGGTTAACAAAACGCTAATTATCTCAGTATAATTTGACAGTGACAGTTGTTGTGTTCATCGTTACTCGTTTAAAAATGTCTGAATATGGAGGTTATGGTTTTTTCTCATTTTGTATTGGTGAAAGTGCAGGGTGCATGGAGACTCCCACAATATGCGTAGCTCTGCAGAGGTACAGAGATCTGGCAATGCCTTACAACAAGGGGGGGTGGGGGGGCAGCCAGTGATGTTCTGTGCAGTTTTTCTAATATGCCGCAGGGCCTTCCTGTCTGCAGCTGAGCACTTAGCATACCACACTGAGATGCAGTATGTCAAGACGCGTCTAACGGCGGCATGACACACGGCTACCAACAGTTCATTTTTTATTTCCAAATTGTTTTTTTCTCAGTATCCGCAACACGTTTGGCCAGTGCTGCGCTTTTCCTGACAGACAAAATTAGGTTGGCATTTCAGAATAAGGTTGTTGTGAGAGAAAAAAGGCCCGGATTTGAAAGTTTTAACCTTCCCTTTTTTAAATCTCTTTTACAGTACGAGGATGTGTGGTTCAGCCCCACTAAAGTCAAGAATGACTTCTTAGGTTTAACTTCAGCTAAATGCTCTGAGTTGCTGTAAGGTAGACTAGCATTCCTTTGCATTTAGCCTGACCACAGAGAAATAATCTACAACTTCACACCGTTCAGATTGTGTGCGGCCATGGTTGCACAGCTCAGTACTCAGCCTTGGACTAAGTAGTAGTGGTGTAGCAGAGAAGGTGGACAAGGGTGATGTGGACTTTAATAATGTAATATAGTGTGCTGAGAATAATGCCTAAATGCTTAGCTATGGCCCATAACAAGATCCTTATTTCTTCCAGTGTCCTGAATGCCCCATTGTTATGTGCATTGCAATAGCAAGAATGTCCTCTTTGCAGGTTTTTTAGCAAGATTTGGTTGAAATAAGGAGGTAAACTAGCTTTGATATTGTGTTTTAATATCAGCAGGGAGAAAACAACAGTTGAGAACGACTCAAAGAGTTTTTCTTTCTGAGTGAAAGAGACAATAGTTGAGGACGTTAGGCAGGGCAGATCAAACAGCTTCAGCACACAAATGTGCCATCTTCTTTTTAAAATGTCAGTTGCCTCAAAACTCTGTTTGGCTTTTCTGCTTGAAGTTTGGATGTTTTCCCCTAGCAGATGTGGGTTCTCTCCAGATACGTTTGCTTCCTCCCACAGTCCAAGCACATGAAACATGACAAGATAATGTATAGATTTACACTACTGACTTGGATAAAGGGATTAGAGTCAGGGTTTGGAAAGTTTGGACAAAGGTACCTAACCAGTGTTCCGAATGTGTCTGAAAGGAGTGCTAGTGGGAAATAAAGGAGTTTCAGTCTTTTTTATTTTTTTCATGTGTGTGCATGTTTCTATATTAAGATCCTGATATAACTCATAGTGCCCTGCTGAAAGCAGACATAAAAATAAACTAGAGGTTTCTTTTGAAGCGAGGAATCTCCCAGTAAATGAACTACGCTGGTGTAAATGTCATGGTTCAGGATTCCATCCTTCCTCAAAGATTAAGCTTGGTTTGACTTATTTGAATGTGCATGTAAAATCATAACATATAATGTTTGCTACATGCAGCCATCAATTTAAATTCAAAATTGTACCAGAAATGGTGGCTAGTAATCCTAAGCATGCTATTTAATCCACTAAGTAATGGGTCAGAAACTAGAATGAAAAATATATGCAACATGAATCCCACTGAAATATTGCAGAGATATTTTTAAACTACTGATACACACACACACACACACACAGACACACACACACGTTAACCTACAGTCACACGGAAGCAGCATATCTGTTTCATGGTTTTCAAATATTGTATTTTGAAAATCAAGCTGCAATGGCCTTGTTTGTACCCACAAGCTCAATGCACTAATTGTGTGTGTATATATTCTGACTTAACATGGAGAAAAAATGGGCTGACAAAGCATTTTACTGCTGCTGTGTGTATCAAAGACTTGCGTCACAAAAGGGGTTGGACACTGTTTGGGATAATCCTGTTAAAGAGTATAACCTTATTATGACAAATTGTCTTTTCAACCCAACAGTCTTCAAGGATGACAAATAATGTTCTAGTTTCACCAAAGTTCTGTTTTAATTTCATGCCTCATTTTCCATGAAGGGATGATATTTTTCCACCCTACACCTCATAAGATATTGGTCCTCTGGGAGCTTCCAAGTAAGTAAACCAAATTTATCTGTAAAAAAAACAAAAAAAAACGTTTTATTTGGAACAACAGCTGCCTGTCTGTAATTAAGACAAAAACCTCAGCTAATTGAACATATTAAAAGCTTACAAAATTAAGTCAGACTATATAAGAGCCTGAGAAAAATGGCAACAGCTTTCACAACATGAGATTCATAATCAATGCTTTTCTAATGTTTGGTAAGTAGACAAGATGCCGACTGGATCCTTTTATTTCTGGAACTTTTTTTTCCAAGCATTTTAGGATGTTTTCCTGGTGCTGGACAGCTGCAACAGCGAATATGGAATTCAATCTAAGTTGGTTACTGGATATTTTTGAAGAAACTAAAACATTAGAAAATATTTTAAAAAGACATTTTAGGCACCATTGGAACTTGGTCAAGGTTCCTGAATTATGACAGTTTTTGTTTTTGTGGTAAAAATATGGAGTAACTTCAGTTAAATGGTCATTTTTAGGAAAAGCATCGCCATGTTCATGAATATGGAAAAATACAGACCTAGTTCATGTTCCTTAAACATGGGTTGGGCCATTATTCTTTGTCCCAATAACAGTTTTTTTTATTTATTCAAATGTGATTTAATTTTACCATTTGCATGTTGGGTTTAGGCAAAGATTTGGCCAAAATGTATGTCCAGAACACATTGGAGATTGGAGGTCTGAACTTTATACAACTTCTTAATATCACTTGGGCTTTAAGGGAAAGCTACCTTCATTATTTTTAGTGAAAATGTTGTGAAAAAACATGGTTGTAGTATTGAACCTTTCTTTACTCTTAATATAAAAGTTATTTCAAACAAACAGTTTGAGCTAGAAAGGGACAGTTATTCCTAAACAGTAATTAATTTTCCACTTTGGTGTAAGATGAAATTGTTTGAAACTCTAAAGACTCGACACTAAAATCTTCTTCATGCTCCTCTCAATACTGTATGGTGTCAAAGATTTCCATCCGAGACAAGCTGTCAGCCACAGATGAATACACCGTGGTAGCTAACAGTGATAAAGACAAGGGAATAATGTTTGAATAAAATGTCAACCTTTTGTGTGGAAACCTGTCCTATCCAGGTCATCAGTATCATGTCCCTTTTGATAGGTTTGTCACTTTTCAACAAAGAATAAATGCCAGTAGACTATATAGAGAACATATTACCTTTGGTAACCCTGGGCAAACACCATTGTATTTTCTCAAATATTTAATCAAAAGAGTAAACATGGAAAGCCTCTTTATATATTTTTTTTATTATTCAAATCAATAACAGACCACATAGCGAAAGTAACTTAAAATCATTTCAGGAAAATCTACTTTTCCTACACTTCTATACCAGAACATTTGTGTTTGATCAGCAAACAGCATTGGTCTAATCCAAGGCCACAGACTTTAAAAAGAAGAAAGAAAAAAGCATAAAGCTTTCAAAAACCCAGTTTAATAAGAAAAAATCTGTCCACTATAATCACTCTCTTCAGCCTTTGAAGAAAATAGAGACATGAAAGATTTGAGCCATGGGCTTTTATGACAGACAATTGATTCTGCCCTCAGATTCACTTTGAATAAAAAGGTACAAAATATACTGCCCTTAGCCATGCAACTCAATATTTTTGTACCAACATTACACTGGCAGACATCACAGGACACTGAGGTAGGAGACTGTTTTAGTATTAGAATGACCTGCGCTGCATGAGGCTTAAATAATTTGCTACAGTGTATGACGAGATAATTGAAGAAAATGCACGTGGCCCATTTATCATTTACAGAAAAGCTTATATAAACATTTAACAATCTGAAAAACCTATCCATAAAAAGACCATCAGGCAATGAGTCAGACAATTTTTTTTTAATCGATATTTTCTGTATTAGTACAAACACGTGTCAAGTCTTTACATAGGAAAAGGTAATGGAAAATACAAATAGAACTGGGAAGTATTTTAGTACAACAGCTTCTTTAAAATAACTTGGGAGTATTGTTAAACATGTTTGTCGGCATTAGAGAAGCATTTTATTACAATGGATATTGCAACAACAGGCCAACTTAATCTTTTTCCTTCTTTAGATTTAACTTATTTTTTCCTTTATAAAAGGGCATTGGGAAAATGATAATGTTTTCACTCAACTGCGTTCTACACCGTTAGATCTTTGAAAGGGCCGTGAGCACGGAGCCAGTCACCACCACACATGAAGCAAAGATGAAGATGGAACAGTTTGTAACACCCTAAACACAGAAAATGTGTTGTCAAGCAGAGTTCTTTGTTCAAAAGAGGGCAATTTTCTTGCCATAAAAAATTCAATTTGTCCCATTTCATTATATTGCAAATTGTACATTTATGAAATTGGGTAAATATTAATTTCAACTCAACAAGACAACCCCATTGCATCCATGTGGATCCTCACCTTTATTTCTTTAAACACTAATGATCCCCATAGCGCTGCAACCAGACCATAGCCCTGCAGAGATGGGGAAAAATAAAAATAAACCGTTTATGGATCACAGACTACTTATTTAAATATTTCACCCTTAATTGATTTTGGACATGTTATGAGAGACCAACTAAATTCACACCATCATAAACCTTAATACCAATAAAAACTACATATTTAAGACAGGTGGATAATATGAATATTAATGGCAGTTCAAACCCTTTAGCAGAATTTTATAACAATATGTGCAGATACAGTACTGGTTTGATAAAACTTGACTATTTGGTCAGAGAACAGACTGTCCTAAGCAGTAATAAGGAAATATATTCTACACAGTTGGATAAGTTCAACAGTATTTTCATATTTGAAGCATTATTCAGAATTACAATAGTTGGAGACTTTAAAGTGCCTCAGCATTGAACAATATTCAAATCTGTAGCAAGTGTCTGAATCCCTCAGAGGTAATTTATATCCATACAATGCACAACCATCAGCATGGGTTGTACTTACTGCAGTGCCAATAGGATACGTAATGATAGGAGTCAAGTAGTCACAGGCCAGGAACCAACAGTATGTCCCCAAGGCCCACATTAGGCCAGACAAAAGTCCTGAAGAGGGAAAAAGAAGTCAAGAGGTCATTTGTGCTATAGCTGAAATGCAGACCAAAGCAAAGATGTATAAAAAATGAATTTTTCTTGAATCTCCCGACAGTAGAGCAGCAACACCAGCGATGTGCTGTTCTGCATGCCTCAAATTTGACAGTACGACTGCGTCCACACAAAGTGAAGCTGCTGGGTCTCAACAGCAGACTCTTCCTTTCCCTTCAGATTGGAGCCACTATTAGATACTCAAATGAAACAAATATCCAGGTGAAAACTGGGAGGAGATTGACTAGATCTTACATCATCACAAATGGTTCTGAGTGGTGCTGTCTCAACTTATTTGGCTTTAACTGGACTAGATCCAATTTGTACTATGGGGAAGAAAAAGAAATGAAAAAAAATCTACTTTTCCAGTTCCGTTCAGTAATACATAAACAAAAAAAAAAAAAAAAATTAAAACAATGTTAGATATCAGTCATCAAGGGAAAACACTTGAGCAGAAAGTATACCTGGCAGGATGACTTTGGAGTAAATCCTGGGCTTGTTGTTCATGACAGAACAGTAGATGGCAAAATACACTGTGCTTGCGAGGAAAATGCCAGAGTTCTGTGCATAAACGTAGTCAAGATCTGTGTAGAGACAAACAGGAATAAACTGTTATTAAAGCAGGTTCTCTGGGAGGGGTTGGTGTTATTCATCAAGCCAATGTGGGAGCTAGACATCTTAATTTTACCCTCATTGTTTGTTTAATTAGAAAATAATAGCACATTGAAGGTTCAAGTTGAGGAATTATCAAGCATTGGCATCATACCGTAGACACTGGCTCCAAAGAACATGCTGTCAGGGCATACTGAATGGCTTTTTATGTAGAGAATGGGTAGAAAACAGGAACCATACAGCAGGCCTACCGTAACAGCAAGCAGACAACCACTGTTGAAAGGGACAAGATAAAGTGAAGAACTGAATAAATGATGCATTTTATGTCTCCCCTGAAACCTTGTTCGATTTGTATGTTAATTTCAACATTTTTCACAATCCTGAGACTGCCAAGATAAAAGGAAAATGTGCATATATCTATTCAGAATATTTCACAAGGTAGATGTACGTCAGTACATGCAATATGGACATAATTGCAGAGTAGCGGATTAGCAACTTTTTCCCATGCAAATGCCGTTTTTGTACCATAACTCTACAGAAACTTACTGAAAATAAGCAGTGCGTTCACTGATTCTGAATTCAGTCATACAACCTTTTATTTTGGGGAAAAAAAAAAAGAAATAACTTTCTCCTTTAAAAAAAAAAAAAAATGAATCAATGTTTGTGGCTACAGGAGAAAATAGTTAGAACTGTCTTTCTGCTCTAGCCTCGATAAAATTAAATATGTGCACCAAACTCTGCGAGCTCAAATAAGACTCACATCAGTCGTCGGTTCTTTGGTCCAACAGCATCTATCCAGAATTCAGAGGAACACTGTCCGTAACTCCCCGAATTTGCCCTCTACAAAAAACAAAGTTCTTACAATATCTTTGAAAACATAAAAGTAAATGGTACAAAAAGCTCAGCTCTCAACCATGATAATCAAATCAAATGTTGTGAGAAAAATAAATAAATCAAACTACTATCATTCAGCTGCAGGATTACTCACCCTTTCTAGGAGCAATGGAACCGATTCCAATGCAGGATGAAGGTCTGTGTCAGATTTCACAAAGAAAAAGATCAGGCCACTGCGGGAAAAGAAAAAAGGTCAACTAGAATCTCAGAAAATAATTTTCCAAATTGTCAAACGATATTGTTCTTGGTTGCACAGACAACTCAAATATTAGGAATGCGAGAAACATTACCTGAGCAGACATAAACCGGCTCCACAATAATTCAACATTGGCCTTGACACGTTCTCAGGATCAACCCCAAACCAGCCAAATCTTTAAAAGACAGTAATTTTATTAGACTTATCTATTGAGAGCCGATTACTCCTTCTGGGATTAATGTAAAGTGGGAATGTTCTGTTTTTTTAAACTTACCTTGAACTGGCCCAGCCCATTAACATACTCGAGGAGCCCCAAATTAACATTCCAAGACCAAGGCCAACCGATTTAATAATAGAAACAACTGCAGTATTCCCTGGGGGGCACATAGTTAAAGATGTCAAGACATTTTAAGTTTGTGTGAAATGCCTATGCATTTCAGTGCTCTAATGAAGACGTTGGCATGAATGTATACACCCTCATACATTTTAAACATGTTAAGCTTATTGAACATGTCCACTTCTGAGCGCTTGTGAGCACTAAAAGTTTCAAACCAAGAAAATGTGAGGTTAGATTTAGATTAAGGATAAAGATTGGATGCTAAACAATGGCTGAAACAAATATCCCAGTTTTGTTTTTTTCCATAACATGGTCAGGAACCAAGAGGGAAAAAAAGTTTCCATATGTCAAAGTATTTCCACTATATATATATATACATCCAGCTATTGAAATACATACAAATGGGATCTAAAGTAGAATTGAACCGGTCCTAAATGCAAATAATAAAAGCACTCGGTTTGAGTAGTGTCCTCAAAAACAATATAATTTAAAGTTGTTTTCAGTAAAATACCTGTAGCCCATATCACACCTCCAACCATTGCCAAAGGGTAAAATTTGGGTGAGTGAAGCATCAAATCTCCAATCATTGACACCACCCAAATTGCAGCACAGCTCACCCACTGAAAGAACATACCTGCAAATCAAACATCATTATCAGACTAAAAAATGTGTACTTCATGTGTAAATTCCCCCCAAAGCAATGAGTCAGAGATACCGCATGCTTACCATCCCCCGTCTCTATTCTCTTCACAGGAACAAATGTGCTGCCATACAACAGTATAGAGGCAATATTTGCAGCCAACCCATAAGCAAACTGAGTGACGTTACTGGAGTTGGTTACGAAAGGCACTTCCAGTGTGGGAATTTCTCCTCCATCTTCCGAATCTGTCACGAGTTTAACATCCAAGATTGACGATGTCAAAGAACTGTTTCGACTCCACGTTAATGGAATATCAGATATAGTTAACTTACCTTCAGTGCTTTGACAGCTCACCATTAATAACGCGCCGACAAATAAGGTCAGAAGTGTATAATTTACCTTGGGCATCATAATATTTAATGAGTGTTTTCCTTTCGATATTACCGCTAAACTACGTTTAAAACAACCCGAGGGGAGCAGAGTGTTAGCAAAGCCCTCAAGGTGTTGCCAATTATCTAATCAGTGGACGTGTCGCTTTACGGCTGCAGAGGAACCTGGGCCCAACATTTATAGAAAACAAAATAAAACCAAATTACTGACTGAGCTCTGAAAGGGTTTTCATTATCCTATGAATTCACTTTGCTGTTTACAAATCACGAATTGCCTTAAGACACTCCAGGCCTGACTTCTAAAAAAAAAAAAAAACATCTCAAAACTACAATCATCGAGGAAGACTTCAAAACAAGTAACAACGCTATTTTCTATACTCTTTTTTCGTGTCAGACCAGGAAATAATGCAATCTGTTTATGGAGACAAGGTAAAATACACCACAAGATGTCGCTTTAAATACGCACGATGAACGTCAAAGACAAGAAAGTTTAGCCCTTCCAAAAAAATAAGTAAATAAAAAAAAAATAATAATAAAAAAATATATATATCCTATATATATATAGTAATGCTCTTGACAGCTAATGGGTTAAATTTGATATGTAGATGGATAAAAGACATTCATCAACTAATTCTTTTTAAAGTGTTTCTCTCGTTATCAAATGTATTATTGTATGGTTTTGTATCATTGTGTGTAAGTTGCCTGTTCTATAAATGGAGCAAAACTTTATGGGTTATGCTTTGAACTTATTATACTTAGTAACAAGTTAAAACTTTCTTGTGGGTTTGCCAGTAATGAATTAGTGCATTTCGGTGTACTGTATCACACGCCCGGACACATCATTTTTGGGTTGGGTTTTTGTTTGACTGTGTGCATCCTTAATTACAGTTGTCTCTGGCCAAACAGCCTCCCCTCCGAGGGGAGTTCAGGAAGCCCTGCGCTCCTCCCCAGTGTGAGCTTTCTGAGGAAAAGACACAGCACTGATACTGACATGAGTTCCAATGGGTAAGTCCCGCGTCCGCTGCCTGTGCTCTCCTTTCCTAAAACTCACCAGCAACTTTCGGAGATGCACTCGCTCCAAAAAAAGTTTGGTGATCGCGGTTGCATGCTCGCTCTATTTGGTTTTCGTCATTTCACAAGTTGGAAATCCGCAGCGACAGAGGCACAGAAAGACTGATGAGGACAAGGACCAGGGAACCCGTCAGTTTAGCCCTCTGGACGCTAATAACGCAATGGCAGACTTTTCAGATTTGCGCAAAGACGCTGAGTTTTTAGCCCCCGTCCGATCCAATGTGGTGTACATAACGTTGAAATCAAAACGCCAAAAACCAGCATATGCACGAGGCACAATCAGATCAAAACTGAGGAAGAAACCCAAAAAAACCAACGCCACCATCCAGCCGGTCGCGCACCCCAAACGACGCGCTGTGGAGTGGGACGCAGGCCACAGTGTGCCAAACCTCTCATCCCGGAAAGGAAGCATTCACGTGGATTATAGATCTGTGAATAGAATCCATAAAGTCTATGATGTTGGGGCAGATTCACAAATGAGTTCAATCCGAATTTTCAGCCAAAAGGCACCGCCGTGGTTCAGCGCGCAGGACTTGAGAACCATGCGCTTCCTCGCGGATGCCAAAGTTCTGCTCATGAAAGAAACGTTTCTTCGAAACTCCACGTCAGTTGTTATATTTGACGGTGGCACCAGCGGGCCTCTGGCCAACCCCAAAAACTCAAAAAGGAATTATAAGTGTGGAGGCCAGTGTGGAGTCATCCACAGCCCCGCGGATAACATGGAGGTATTTGCATTCCATTTGGACAGGGTGCTTGGGCTTAATAGGACATTGCCAGCGGTAAGCAGAAAGTTCAGCTTATTACACGGTAAGTTATTAAACAAAAAGTAAAGTCATCTTTTTGTCTGACCACACGATAGACTACTGTTTTGCTGGGTCAAATTCAGATGGTTAACCCAGAAGTGCAATAAGATCCAGTAATCCAGTGCACTATACGTTTAGGGGGTGCCTCCAAGTTACTGTCAATAATAATTTAAATCCTTTGAGTGCTCCAGGAAAAGTTAAGACACTTTCTGAACAAAGTACAAAGATATTGCTGTGTCTCATACTATGAAAATGTAAATAATTTTAAGGATTGCTGCAAAAAGACATGCATCCAAAGTCATTTAACTTTCAGCGCGATAACTTCCAAAGTACATAGCTACGTTTTAGTTCAACAACCTTTCTTTTTCTTTCTGTTCCTTACATCATGATCCTTCCATATGTGATTAATTCCTTCTCCTTTTCCTTTTCATATTAATATAAAATATTTTTGAATAAACAGCATAGAGCCAGAAAGAAAAATTACTTCAGTCCCTGGCCTTGGGCTGAATATTCTGTCGTTTTTGCCATTCTTTCTTTCACCCACCATCATATATCAGGTATAATGTTGTCATAAGGTATTTTTTTATTCATTACATAAACAAAAGCTAAATGTGACGTTGGCTGTAGTTACAGCTGATGATTTCTATGGGTGCCAGATATGTGAAAATCACAAAGACTGGACCAAATACAGTTGGCTTTACATGTCACTGTTGCTGAAACCTGATCATATCTTCTATCTTCCCTCCTTTTCAGATGCTCAGTCCTGTCCAGTGGTGTCCTGGGATGCATCGCTGTACCCAAAAGGCCTCGCTGCAGGCCCACCCACTGTAAGCTTAACATGGGGGGAATACCAGAGCTCTCTAAAACAGGGGTGTTGGCATAAAAACATCAGCCCAAAGCGTCACTCTGGCTGCTCCACCGTTCATCATAATGAGTGGAGCAAACTAGCTCTGTTTGACTTCTTGTTACAGGTAAAAAATATCTGTCTGTTGAATAACACCTTAATGTGAGCATGGCACCACGGACAAATGCGATAGTTGTCAGATCTATCCAAAAGCATAACCCGTAAAAGCAGCTGGAGTTTCTGAGTTCTTTTGTTCTTCATTTGTGTTAGCATTGACAGTCTTTTGCATAATGATAAAAAAGAAAACTTTCTTAAATGTCTGACCTCAGCACTATTCTCCAACAGCTGTTATTCATGAAAACTAATTGGACTGTTCCCCCATTCAGTTTCCTTTGGCTGACTTGACATATAATTTCTCTAGCATATTCCTCTAAATCCTTTTTATTATTGTTCTTTTGACGATACACATTGTAGAGATCAGATTTTTCTATACGTTCACAATAATTTAAAAATCTCTATAATGACTAAGTAGGAGTACATTGTGAGGAGTACAATTAACATAACAAGAGAAAATCTGTTTGAAAGATCTTGTCTCCTTGATATTTGGAATTCTTGTTTTTGCACCCCTAATAAATTTAGTGGAGAATAATTTTGAAAGCACTGACCAATATCGGGAGCTCAGGGTGTTCATCTAAGAGCAGGTTTCTGCCTTATTTATGCTTTAGTTATTTTTTGTCAACCTGTAGTGCAAACCAAATAATTTGGCTGGAATATTTAAGAAAAAAAAGTAATTTAAGGGTGTTTCTTAGTCTTAGAGATGATTATTAAGGTGGTAAAGTTCCTGTGCATTCTACCCTAGCAGCTGATAAAGTATTTTGATAGAAAATATGTGTCATTCTGTGTTGTCTGGGTATCAGCTGACCTCTTTGTTCTAAAGCCCACAAATGTATTGATCCTAGACCTAATCAGCTTCAGCAACCATGAGTCGTGATCTTAAGCTCTCAGGCTACTGTGTTTGGTACACTCCACCAGAGAATCTCGTCCTTAACTACTCTTTTCACCCCCCACATATATATATGTGTGGACCCATCAAACCACATGGCCATTTTCCATTGTTGTAGAGGTCAGTCCTCATTTTTCATTCATTTCTTTTATATAACAACTTCATCCAATTCAGTATTGTAGAAGGCTGAAGGCCATATGAAATTATTTGAAAATGTAATAGTTCCCCTACACAGTGAACAGAACTTTTATTCAATTTTGTGTGTTGGTATTAATTTTTCAACTTTAAACATTGTAAGATTGTATTGCACACCTTCCATGTGTCAGTCTTTGTTTACATGGCAACCAAGCATATATGTCCACACATCTAGTCCTACAACTCAATTGTAAAACCGTACACTTTCATTGGCGGAAGCATCCTGATATGAGAGGTCAGATTCAAAGGAGAAACACTTTGGATTCTGAATGCATTTACATATTAGAATTATTATCCAACCCTTTTCCTTAACCTACTTCTTTGACTTTTTACTTTGGATAGATCCCTCTGAAACCTTCTATGGAAATCTTACATGTTGCCTTCTCCTGATTTGGAAACCCACAATTTACATGGTTTCACATTAAGTGTGAAAAATTGATGAGGCTTTCATTGAATTTATGGTTGCCGTCTCCTGCAGAGGAAACAAAGGTGTTAAAAAAACACAGTGTGCTGCCTTCCAATTATAACAGTATCCCCTGTGCAGCCATCTGACCCACAATGCCATAGTGTGAGGTGCGAGGTGCTAGGTGTTGATATGAATACAAAAAAAAAAAGTGTGTCTATTTTGCTTAAATGACAGCAATAAACAGCCTGTGGGGGGTGTTTAATATTTTATTTGCCACCTTTTTTTATCCTGTAGTAAAAACATTTAGCCTATTAAAAACAAGCTAATCATCTCAGTCAATGCAATCCAAAAACTAGGAAAACACTAATCTTAAATTCGATAACTCCTAGTCCCTACTATTCTTGTATTCTCTGGGAAAACCTGAGCTGTCTCCTCAGATTCACATCCGCCTTGATCAGAGCTGCTGCGGATTCAGGCCTCGGCCGGATGACGTTTGTGTGGAAGTGGGCCACCGTGCCACATGTGGGGACAGCACAGAACTGGCAAACGTCATTCACAGGGATCACGACCCAAGACACCTGGTGTTCACAAACAACAAGGGATCCTTCAGCCGTAACCAGGACAACTTGGATTTTAGACTGCTGGAGGGGATAAAGGAGTAAGTTTGGATAAAGAAATATATATATATCCATGACATGATAAATGCACACAGAAGACATTTTTGGCCTCAGTGTAAAATCAGTGTATGAGAACAATTGTAATTGTAATTGTTTGAGAGTTCTGTTCTCATGCAAGACTTCAGCAGAACTTCTGCTCAGTTATAGAAATGCCCACATGAGTTTTCTTCCCCTTCTGCTGCTTATAGTGGAGGTGCTATTAACAGTAAACATCCTCCTGTATATGACCATTGCAGTTGGAGGACTCATTTGTCTATAGTTAGATTTGTACCTACTCAATGATACCTGGATGTAATTTCTTGCTACATTGGTCATTGTATTCACTTTCCATACCTCCAAATATGTTTTGACACCTTTGCTTTCTACATAAATCCTTACAAACAGATAATAGCAGAGGGTAAAAAAACTCTGCCTTGGCCGTTTTGTGGATTTTTATTTAAGGCTCCATCGGCTCGAGAACTATCCTGTTAAATGTTTTATACAGTCCATTTAGCTTTTTATGTCCCCCAGACTTACAATTTGTTTCTTTCTCCTTTGCAGTCACTGACCTATGTGTATTTTTGGAAGGCTCGTGCATTTAGCTATTTATGGGTTGTGATGTCTGTCATCTCATGACCCAGCAGAAAATACCAACATTTAGTTGTCATCTCACAGTCTGCAAAAAGATGGATTGTCACAATTTTATGTTTGAGAAAAGCAAAAAAGGGGACTGTGTCTATGATGTTACAGTGTCAACTATAGAGTAGTTTGAATTGACAGTTATTGATCAGACATTCTAACTGTTCATTCCCCATATTGCGCATATATTGCCTTCATTTCATGCATCTTTTGATCAATAAGTCAGTGACTCATCTCACTCTGGAGACAGAGTTGATACTGTGGTTTGGCAAGGATGCTAGTTTTTCCCCTGTTAACATTGAGGCTTGTGATCTTCAGTTAAACCAGGACTTCTATTCCGGCATTCAAATCAGATAGCCTGGAGGCTGAGATTTAGTTTAGCTATGTTGAGAGGAGAGAAGGTCACAAAAAGCTTATTGAGAATGCTAACTGCACACACAGTCATTCTAGATCTAGAATCGTGGATTTAAATTTCAGAAGATTTTTAAAAATATTACAAAACAGTGTTTTATGTGGTGTAAAATGGGATTAAGCTGTAATCAATAATTTATTAGTCCAAGGATTTTCATGATCATGATCAAAATTGCATTTGCATGATCAAAAGTAGCTGGCTTTAATTTCCCATTTTTCACGGAAAATAATTTTGTATAGGTTTGGCATTTTAACATCACTGCTCAGCAGTCTGTTTAAGAAATCTCTCTATTTTTTAGCAGAAAATAAGTTCTGCAACTATTGCAGTACAATTAAATAAGACAATTACATTCTATAATAGTCAAATGGTTGTTCCTGCAGGCTTTTCTGCTGGAAGTTAAATATAAGCAATTTCAGTGATAGCAGACATGAAGAATAACTAATCAGTTTACTTCCTGCTGGCCTAAAACACCTGATTTTATTTTTCTCAGAGAAACAAAGCAGCTGCTGCAGGTATCATTTCATTATTATAGTTGTAAAGAAAGAAATAAACTGACATTTGAGCCAAATTGTAATCTATTATTTTACAGCAAGACCATTAAAATCAATTTATTTGCCACCATCATTTGCAGTAATCACATTCATTCTAAACAGATGCAACATAAGGCTGTCTTTCTTTTGCTTTGGTTTGTATTTTTTAGGCTTCCAGAGCAAGCAGTGTTCGTGATGAGGAGCAGAAAGCTGAGGGAGAAACTTCTCCAGTCACTTTTTCTGGACCAGATATATTGGGAAAGCCAGGGTGGCCGACAGGGCATCGACAAGCTGATTGATATCATTGAGAGACGAGCTGAGGTCCTTCTCACCTACATCAACGCCCATGGGATCAAAGTCATCCCAATGAATGCCTGAAGAAATCCGCTCAAGTGTCACTGGCCAGTGTTTTACATGGATGAAGTGAATTAATTGTTTGACATGTGTCTGCACTTTGTGTAATGTCTCACTTTTGGTTAAAAAAAAAGAAAAAGAAAGAAAATTCCAGAAAATATTGTAAACTCCAACATGCCAGTACTGTCAACAAAAAAAACTAATGCTTATAGTATGATATGTTTTCCACTTTTCAGCATATATTTCACCACTATTGTAAGGACTCGTGCATTTGGGAGTATTTCAACTTTGCATCCGGTGAAATTCTTTATTCAGATTTCAGTAAAGATGATCCAGAATTGGGTTTGTTTGGTGAAACTTCAGCAGACCAGTGGAGACAACCGGTGCACATAAACAAGGTTTGAAAAAAACAAAAAACAAAACACTGTTTTATCATTGTAAGTTCCTATCACATTTTTGATATTTTAAGTAATTTAATTTAGATTTGAGGTGTTACAAAGACAAAACTGTTTAACAGAGCTGTGTTTTAATTGATAGTTTAATGAAGGCAATAAAACTGATATTTGTGTTGATGTTAAAAAATTAACTTATTGTTTGATGCAAACACATGAATTTGATGCAAGAAAAAGCAAATGTGTTTGATTTTCTGGAGTTACTGAGTCTGTTATCATTTTTGTGCGTTTTTCAAACATTTTTTTTATCGTGGTCCTTCTCAGGCCTTTTAGTTGTGCTGTTCTCATCTCTTTTCATGCTGAGCATTAGTTCGACTAAGTCATGATGTAACTTTCAAAAAACAAAAACAACAGATTGCCTAAATAAGTATTCCACATTGGTGTTTTGTTCAGATTTTTAATATATTTTGTGCTTATCTCATGTACAATTCCATCCTTTTGATTTAAAGTATAAAGCCACTCATGATTAAACACCATAGCAAAGTGATTGTGTATAATACACTGGGATTAACAAATAAAAGCTCAGCTTTCTTATTCCATTGTTTTTTCATATGCACTATTTTTTCAATATGTCAGCAAAAAGAAGTAATAGCTTTAGGCAATAGGTGATTTCTTTTTTATATAAGTTGTTTTTAATGTTTAATAAAATATTTTGACCCTCATATTGCCAATATTGCTTCAGCATTCACGGTGTACACTGAGGAAACCGTTTCTTTGCATTTTGTTTCTTTTCCTTGGGGTAATGACAGTAAAAATGAGACTTGTCTGCACTGATTGGTAGAGATGGCTCAGATATATTTATTTCACTATGTTTTCAGTACGACATAGTGGTCAACCAAAGAATAGCGCAAGTCATTAAAGGATTAATGGGAAAAGGAAGCTGTTTTTGCATTGTTGAGGGTTTAATAATTTGGAAGTTTCACATTCTTTGGTGACAACATCACCACTAAATAGATGCTCGAATGACATATAAACAGTATGTCTACTTGGAAGAGGTTAAAGCAGAGTCAGAAATAGCTCAGAAATTTGAGCCAGAGTCTGCTGTCTGCCTTTCATGCTGTCGTAAAAAGTGTCCTTTGGGCTCTCAGATTTGGAGTTGATGGGGCTTTGTGTGTTATTTTGTGCTGTCCGTGCTGCGCACTCACTTGGCTGTTGGTTTAACCTCTATGCACCGGTATTAATGCTCAGCAGGTTGCGTGCCTATGGGTGTTTGTCTTGAAAAGGCCCCTTTAGTTTCCGGCCAGCTCCACAGCAAACCTTTTTACGTATGTATAGGCTATGCATTCTCCCATGCAAAAATGTACAGAGATAACATTTGTAAAGAAACTGACCAACACACAGGAAAGCACTCAAGTTAAATTGATATAAACTTTTGCAGTTTGAGAGCTGCATTCATGATACATAGTCTTAAAACATGGACCCTAAAGACAAATTGTGTTAATTTTATGTATACAAAAAAAAGGATTGTGTTGTGTCTTGCTTGGGAAAGGTGTGTAAACTTCCTATTAAAATGTTTAATATTTCATATTGAAAAAGAACATATTGGGATGTCACTAGTTAATACAAATGATTCAGAACAAACCAGAAATGAATGAACCTTTGCAAATCCTTCATTGTCAAAAAGGCTGTCTTCTCACGCCCAGGTTGTGGGAAAGGCGTCAACACTTAGCTTCAGGGATGAGTCGCCCAACAAAAAAGCAAGGAGAAAAAAAAAATACTTTGACATGCTCGCTCTTGTTTTGGTTGATAATGGCCCTTTGGGTTACGTACAGTTTTTTAACTTATCGTTTATCTGCTCTGTTCACTCTATCCTCCCACAAAGGGCTTTGATTTTTTCCCTGTTACGTCTCAAAGACAGCACATTGCTCCCAGCTCATGTTTTAGGCTGTAAATAAGAACTGTTCAAATAGTATTGTCTCAGCTGGGCCCAGCTGGCTGTTTGCTGGTCAAATTCCAAAGGTTATTACACAGAAAGCCTTTTTCTTATAGTCAAAAAATATGACCAGTCTGACTATAACGACCATTGTGCTATATTTCCAATTTGCTTCTGCTGGTTCATCCCCAGTCTTGTCAACTCTGCCCTGTAGTTGCTAGCAGTTGTTTCTCAGTTATGAGTACATATCAGTAGAAAATAGTCCAAATCCTCTTTAACATTTTAAGTTACATGTCTACGACTGATACCAACCAATGTTGAGTGAGATAAATGCTTTGACCTTTCGCTAAAAAATGTAGCAAGACCTCTTTTTTCTGTGTCAGGTATGCATTGAAAAATTAGTTTAGCAAAGTGTCATTGTTTAGAAAAGTCTTGCTCCGCTGGTTGAGAGTTGCAGAGTGATGTGCAGTACACTGTTTTGTTCACCAACTGACAATTTAGTATTTGTCTCTTAATGACAAACAGTTTACTTGAATCTCATCCACCAATCGGAATCGTACATCATGTCAAGACACAGATCCATTTTTTCTCGTCAGATCTCACAAGTTTTCCACGTTCCTCCACCCATTTCTTTTTTTTCCAAATAATATACAAACAAACAATTAGTAAGACTTCCAGTGTCTTTATAAGAATTTTCCCCTTGACTTCTCAAATGTATTTTTAGTGTCGGTTTGGGTAATTCTACTTGTTCTCTGAAACACTTCATTGAATTAAAAAGCACTTTTACTCGGAGTTTTGCTGTTTTGTAGGAATATCCCAATACATTTTTGGCCTTTTGTATTCACCTGGAGTACAGCAGTGTCTTTTGAAGAGTCAGTCTTAAGACAACACCACACCTGGGTGGTCACTGTCAGAGCATGACAAAGATGAAACATGGAAGGAAAAAAACTGCAGATTATTCCTTTCTATGGTATCTTTCAACAAAAGCCACAAGACCAAGCAAAACACCCCCGTGATTCCAACACTGTTAAAAAGACTTTCTGAAGATAAGGACCGAGGAGAAGAATTTAAACAAATGCCAGCAAATGTCAGATAAAGCCATGCTCGTCTTATTCACTCAAACACCAACATACAGAGTATGTTTTTAATTAATTTTGTACAGAACAGGAGATGTTTGATTGAATTTAAAACTTCAGCTGTCCTTAAAGTATCTAATCCTCTTACTTTTTTCTATCTTTCTGTCTTTCATTCATTCCATTGGCATGAAGCCAGAAAGTGTTGAGAATTTTTTCCAATGAACACAGCTCTTGTTAGAAGATAAGAATTAGGCTTCTTTGAAGAGGTGATTCTAAAAAGTTTTAAGTTCATCTGTGACAACCCCCTGGAGTAAGACATGTGAGCATCTTTCTTTATTACAGTGTTCTGCATTACTGATAACATCCAAGATAAGATTACAAGGAATACATGCACAATGCAAGCTGCCGGCTGGAAAAATATTCCATTGTGACATGCAGATCTAAGCTGTTTCCTGCTTGCTTTAAAAAAAAAAAGTCTTGAAAAATTCTGATCCTACAAAGCAACATTTAAAGGCCCAATAATTCCCCCTATTCTGATTTAAAACAGCGTGTTACTTAAGAATGTTTAAAGGCGGAGTGCTGACACGAATGTGTCTTCATAAAAATGTTTCTTCATTGAAATGGATGAAGACGATGGAGCCGATGCCTTCTTGAAATGTAAATTTTAACTTTATTCTGACATCCGGACTCTTCAAAGACAGGTTTCAAAACAGGATTGCTGATTATCTTTTTACCCTTAATCCTGGTTAGTCTTCCACAGCCATAATAAACCTTCCCACAGACTTTTGTGTCTGGTTTACTCTGCACAAACCACCAGAAATTCAGCTCTGATTTGGCTCTCGTTTCACCAGATTCAAACATGTTTCTTCCTGTTGACTTGGATTCCTTTCGGCACATTTCGAAAAAGATGGAATATCTGCTGATAAAAGATAAGGAATGACTCCCATCAAACCATTTTGCCAAAAGTCTGAATCATAGAGGGCCACACTGATAATAGTCCTCCTGGAAAGTTCTCCTCTTTTTAAAAAAGCTTTTATTTAACTCCTTTCTGGTTGGCAATTCCACTTTTTTCTTTCATTTTACAATACATGACGCTATTTGCAGAAATTTCTTATAGACTTGAGTTAACCTGTTTGATCTTGCATGAAATGAGGCATTAATGAGATGGAACTTTGCCTCTTTAGTTACTTTCGATGAATTTGGATGAGGGCATTTTCCTGTCAGGTTATACAAAATAACCTAAGTGACCGGATGCATTAGAGCTCTCAACTGCATTTAAACTCATTTGTAAACTAGATATGGAATTATTCATTTTTAATATAGATGTTCAAACAACCACTCAATTCTCTATTTTTCAGTAGTCATTTAAAAATTGATAACTGCAGTTTTCATTATACATAATTAATGATGTATTCAGTGTTTTCCTGGCAAAATATACTCTGTAATACTTTAATCTGTTTTAAAATCCTGCTAAATGTTCAAATTGTTAATGTTTTCAAATGCAGTTAATGTTAGTTCATTCCTTTCCACTGTATTCAAGTCTTTAAAGAAATGGTTGACTGCACATTGCTGACTGACAAAGATGAAAGTATAATTAGATGAAAAATGCAAGTTCACAGTCATGTAATATGAGTATGACGGCAAACTCTTGTGGCCAAAGGATTAATCTTCATCCAATCAAAGGAAGTGCAAACATGAGAAAAGACATCTGAAGCCATGGAGCTGGATTAAAGGGGTGAATGCACATGCTAAAAAATGGGGTGAGGCATCTCCACGGACTGGCATCCCAAACATCTGCTTGCTGAGATATATGGGGAAATGAAGCAGTTGTGGGCTGAATATGTCACATTCTATATTTAGAGATCTTATGATGAGAGAAGTGTGGCATGTGGGGCATGAAGCGGGCTGACCGAGACTGCCAAGGTTTGTTGGTCACATTATTCCAAACACTGACAACACAGTATTTTTCTGCCGCAGAATTACTAAGCATTTTATTTTTTTTCCTGTGTCATTCCAATTTAACAACCATTTGTTACTGTTTTTTGTATAAGCTTAAGAAATACTTTATTTGTCTGAAAACGAATGGTGGTTTACATTCTTTTGCTTGACCTTCTTCCAGCAATCAGGTGCTCTGATTTACTTTTGCAAGGCATAAGCTAAAAAATATCTGCAATTTACAGATAAAGGTCATTATCTCCACCTAAAAATGACAGGCTGCTGAACCCCAACAATCCCTGACTGATCCCCTTCTGCAGCAAACCATCCACTTAGATCAAACCGTTCAGTCTAAAACAGAAAAACAAAAGCTATCTTGTTAAATTTGCAATATATGCTTTAGTTAAGCTGACACGACTATGTGCAGTCACTAGCTGAGCATGTAAACAGCCCAAAAAGGAAAGCACCATGCATTCCTTAACTCCTCCACTGCCTCCATTCCTGACTCATCTATTTAGAGTCAAAACTGTACCGGCAGCAGTGCTTTGAACTCAGCCGGTGCTCCCTCGTGGGTTAAAGAAAGGTTTGAAATCCTGCAGACGGCAATTACAATATATTCTACAACCAAAACGGGAAAAAAAGTTTCCAATGACGACAGCGGGAAACATGATGAAGGATATTCCAGTCTTAGGCTGAATGTTTAGTTTGATGGACAACATAATTATGTCTCTACCTTTGTTTTGTGCTGAAAACAGGTTAATTATCGCAATGTGAGTATAACAAAGAATGTTTACTAATGAGAGCGGATAATTCGTTTAATTATAT